TGTTGGGGTAAATCCCAAACACAGCCTCCCTGACTTCCTCCTTACTCGGGAGGTCACAGAGATCAACAAGGTCGACCGACTGCGGGATGGTCGGAAAGAGGGCCGGGTCGGGGTTCGTAAGCAAATCCCGCTTAGAGGAAAATAGAGAGTGGAAGTAAGCCCTAGCCGGCTCCCGTATCTGGGACTCCTGGGTCACCGATGACCCGTTATCCTCAACACTATGGATATACGACTTGACTCGCTTCTGCCTCACGAATCCCTGGAAGAACTTGGTATTACACTCCCCCTCAGCCACCCAGCGCACAGCAGCCTTCTGCTTCCAGAAATATTTCTCCATGAGGAGGCACAACTGGTACTCAGCATGGCAGCGGCGCATCTCGGACCTATTCTCTGGCGAAGAATCCAAATCATAGGTTCGTTCTGCCTCCGCATACGCAGTCTAAGCTGCAGTAAGGCGCTGAGAAATGTCACAAAAAATCGTCAAGTTCCACTGCTTCAAAATGCGATAGAGTCTCTTGAGCTTCTCCTCCAGGTTGCGCATCCCATAGAGGTGTGTAGCCTGCTGCCAGGAGGCTCTAACAGTATCGTAGTAAGAATGGTGGCGGACCCACATGTTCTTGAAATGAAAGGACGCTCGCCGAGGGAAAATAGAGAACCGACAACGAATCAGAAGGGGGGCATGGTCGGATCTAATTCGAGGAAGGTGCGTTACAACTGTAGTCGCAAACACCCTCAACCACGCCTCTGAGTAGAGAGCGCGGTCGAGCCTCTCCTTGACTCCGGCCCTCTCCCAGGTAAAGGGAGCCCTTTCGTAACCAGCGTCGATGAGCTCATAATCCGATACAGCATGCGAGAAATCTAAGATCTCCGCAGAGCGGTCCGATACATCTCCAATGCATTCATCGAGATGCAAGAATATGTTGAAATCACCGCTAATCATCCACGGTAATCCCTCCATACTCTCAGCAATCTCACACATCGTGTCCCAGAGATCATAGTGACCAACCCTCGCACAGTTGGCGTAAACCAAGGTATGGAAGATCGACTCCGGAAGATGGGCGGCGGTGAGCTTCACGTGCAAGACTTGATCAGTATCTCGAAGGATCTGACAAGTAACGTCATGCGAGTGGAATAACCAAATCTTGTTAGAGGCGTTTCCCATCCCGGCATGAAAGCCAAGGCGTCGCGAATATACGTCAAAAGAAGGGTCACGAGTCATAGGCTCTAAGAAAGCCGCAAAGTCAAGGTTATGCTCACGAATGAGAGATCTAACATGAGCAAGGGTGGTCCTATTACCCAGACCACGGGCATTCCATGTAAGCGATGTGACTGACATGTCAAACGTCAGTGGGACCGCCTAACTGGAGTTGTCCGTGGTTAGGCTATGTCTGTATATCTGGAAGGGTCAGAACTCGACTAGCAGAAAGCTGCGCAGACATAGATCTGGTTTGTGGTCTCGGATGCTCCGGGTCCTCCTGGAAAGGGCCCCCTCGTATAGGGGAAACTCCTGGGGTAAGGGGATGAGCTGTAGGTGCTTTAAGCCCTTGGAGCTCTGCGCCTGGCTCTGTAGGGAAGACGGACCAGACTCGCTAGCGGAGTATGAGGGGGAAGAGGAAGGGAGGGTCAGATGGGGGCGAGCTGGTGGGCAAATGAGAGAGGTAAGGTGGGGGGAGGGCTCTACGATCATGAGAGCTGAGGAGGAAGGGGGAGCCTCGATACACAATGGGATGGCAGGAGGCTCTATCTCATCCACTAATAGATCATCATCATCAAATGGGGAGCTGGTCGATGCTCACAGATGGTCGGAGGAAATGTGGAACTCCTCCTCCGACTCTGAGTCAAGCATAGAGAAGCGGGAATAGGTAGCTATGGGAGCTGACTGGAGGGACTGGTGGGGGAAAAGGCTTGTAGCTTTGGCCTTAGGCCTATCGAGGTTAACTTCCTTGGGCTGTGTGCCCTCAGAGGTGACTTTGCCCTTACCCTTTTGCCCCTTCGAGTCGGGGCCGTGGGCAGGGGCCTTGCCCTTCTCCTTAGGACTCCTCAGGGCGATAGTAGAACCCTGCCTCGTTACACGTCGGCGGGGGGGCAGAGCAGGCCGGGTAGTTTTTTTTTTTCATAGCAGGTCCCAAATTAGGCCCGCTCTGATACCATGTCAAACGGGGGCAATACGAGTGCGGTCCCACACAGGTGAAACGCACCATAAGAGGGTTAGCCCAAATGAAGCCCAAGTGAGGTTCCATCCCAAAACCAATCTATATATATATAATTACTGGCTCATAAGCATTTAATAAAACCTATTAAATTATACCTACGTGGCACTTTCCCGCCAAAAACCGTTACTTTTCAATTTTATTTTTTTTATTATTTTGTTATAAAAACATATTTGATTTGTATTAATGTGTTGCTATGTTAATATTGGTCAAAACCTCATTTACTGTGTAGCCGTTACATTTCTCTTTTTTCCTTATTATCTTTAGTACCTTTGAATTTCGAAAATATTTTTTTTTATCAAAAAATTGATTCACTCACAATATTTTATCTATTTATTCTCACT